GAAGAATTTTGGCCCACGCCTGGTCACAGCCAAGCGTACACTGTCTCACTCATGACAATTCAATACATAATGCCGCTACTCATTACAGCGATTTGTTACATCCGAATATGGCTGTTTTTGAAAAGCCGACCTGTTTTGCCCAATAACAGTGGTTTAGCAACTGCAAGGGAAACTGCTGGAGAAGAAAATACAAGACAAAGCATTGTAATACTCAAGACTGTTGCAGTTATCGCTGTATTATTCTTGGTTCTTTTATTGCCAACTCAAGTGGCTTGGATGTTGTTAGATTTCAGAAATATTTCCTCCGATGAACTTTGGTTTGCTTGTGACATACTAACAAGGCTGCATAGCTGTATAAACCCAGTTGTTTATGGAGTTATGAACAAACAGTTTCGTCATAGGTACGTCATATTTTTATCGCGCATATTCTGCTGCAAACATTCTTCGAGTCTCGAGCTGGCGCCATCACAAGAAGCCATCCCGTAATCACGTGACAGACTGTGCGAAATATCAAAGGACATTTTAAGCCTTATGGAACGTGGCGTGATGCCTGTTTACGGCGAAGCAGAAGAAGGCGTTCAACAATGGTAACCATTGTTCAAAAACTTGGAAAGAGAGAGTATTGAATATTTCAGCGTGTCTCGAGTTGTGTTTGAAGAGATCGTAGAGTGGAAATTCAAATGGAGGGTAAAATTTCACAGCAATAGTAAACACTTAAATGTCAAATAAGAGATGATTTGCTTGACATATTGAGCTTTGTTTAATAATACTCCCATGGCTAGAACAAATAAGAAGCCTACAGAAAATAGTTAAAACAGTCTAGTAGAGTACAAATAGTAAAATGTTAAAACAGTCTACAAGAGTACAAATATCTAGAGATATTTGTGTTTGTTTCACGCGTTATTTGTTGTCTTCTATAGTACCAAGCGCGTCCGGACCGGATACGAGAAAGCCCTTGGGGTCCGTACCAAATTTGAACGCGTGTAAGTTTAAGACTGTTGCGGCCATAATGAACTCGAAACTTGGAACTCAATATTCCCATGGCACTGTCTTTTTACAAGGATGTTTTTCAAACACACAGTTTTTCTCTAATTTTATTATTGTTGTAAAAAATGATGAAATTCTGACGGTTGATCATAGAGATCCCCACCGTAAAATCTCCAAAATAAACATTTGTGCTCAGCAAATTTGAAGTGTCGGGCACTGTTATCCCTATTAAGGTTGATTTACGAAATTAACAAAAACTCGGTCTTCAATTCAGAAATATGAAATATGAAATATAGCATAAATTTTAATATTTCATGTTTCCATGGTTGACATGGAAGAGACGGATTATAAAAGTCGACCAAGAATAACTTAGAGGACCTGTGTCAGAGTAACAAACAGGAGAAACTCGGAAAAGAAAATGGAGTTGAATAGGCTACACCTGAACGAAACCTCCACCAACATCATCCATCTTTACTTTGAGGGGAGCCTTAATGGAGGTAGACAGGAGGGAAGACAGAATTATGTGTCGCGGAGGATAACTGGCCGCAAGCGTAACGGGATGTTATTTATGCAATCTAGTGAAGAGGACCTTAAAGAACTAGTCCGATAGGTACATTAGAGGACCTGTGCCGAGCTCGAGATTCGAATGAAGATCATGATGGACAACCGAATTGAAACATAACATATGCAATCAATTGGCAAATGCAAGAAATATGTAAAATATAGGATTAATGAAATGTATATCTTGAAACCCGAATGACGTAGAACTGCAATATATAATTATTGAAATGCTATACATATCGATCAATATATCATGGACAATTTTAATATCGGAAAATGGGTTTGCGGTTTCAAATTCCCTTTTCGGATAAAAGCACTGAACTGGAGTTATTCCTCTGTGCACGCTTCATCCTAAGAGACAATTATTATTTCTTTGAGCGTTTTACTTGGAAGTAGGAAAATAGATTTTAACAGTTTGATCTTAAATTTGATATTCATTTTAAGGGAACTAACTTAGTCTCGATGTTACAGGAGAGAAAAAGAAACCGATTTACATTAAGCGTAACTTAACGCCGATTAATTCCTGCTCTTAGTAGAAAAGGTTTTGTATTTATTTTCAGACGTTATCAGTTCAAAAGTGAGGCAAAGAAAATCCTGCTGTATGGTCTTAGAATCAAGGCTTTAGGAAACCAGTTGGTACACCATTACAACTCAATTCCGTGAGTTCAGTGCACATCCCTCACGGAAGATGAGTAAACACTTACAAAATAAGACAATGGATGTTGTAGTACATCACTTAGTTGCTCGCGGTGAATAAAACGTCAATCAAAAGGTGAAAACATATGAAAACACGCCGATTAAAATACTCCCAACAAAACTGCTGGCTTAAATTAACTTGTACTGTCGCATGTAAACATGTCGTTTTTTCTGTTTGTTTGGTTTGTTTGACTCTTTTTGCAATTTCAAACACGATTTTTCTAAGGCTTGATAGTTTGAACTTGGAATACAAAAGGAATTCATTTTATAAAGTGAGGAACGTGCGTTTCAGTAAGTAAAGTGTTGCAATAATAACACATCTGTACTGTTTGACACAAAGGGTGCTAAAAAAACACTCCACACTCTTTTTTTGCAAAAAAGCTTTTTAGGCTGACAAATTAAGGTTAAAAGGTGCCAAGATTAAACATACGGCTGTTACATCAAGAACAACTTCAATTAAACTTTTTTTCCATTTGCTATGAAAATGACTAAATAAACGCATGAACAGTATGAATCAAGGCAATCAACCTTTTGCTTCCAACAACTTGGAAATTGTCATCAGATAACAGGAACTGTGAAGCAAATATGAATAAAACAAGGGGCCTTTCGGAGCGATTTTATTCCAAAGTGAATAACACCTTGTTTTCAAAACCGATAAAATAAGAAACATTTTAGGCTTAAATCTTCCAACTTGACAAAGTTCAGGCCAATAAACGGGAAAAAAATGATTAAATTGTTAAGATTTATTACATATTAGAACTTCACATGGCGCAACTTGACATTCGTTTTTCTCCCTTGTTTGTCAATATTTTCATTCTCTTACCAGTGTTACCAATAAAATCTTTATCTAAATCCCAAGGAAACAGTGATGCCAACCTATTAATAACATTATTAGCAGAGTAAACGTTTTGACCATACGATAACATATTCATAGTAATAAGTTTTACATCCTCCTTTTACCTGCGTCGATAAAGTCTCCGCCACTTCCGTTCTGGAATCAGTATTTCGTAAATGCATTTCCTTCATTCTGTCTCGCCGGCCAATGGAGCTCTATGTAAAATAAATTTATTTGATTTTAAAAATGTCATTAATGTTCTCACGAGATCCACTTACATTCCATTCTGCATAGATATTGAACACTGTCAGTGATTTAGTAACAGAGATATCTCTCAGAGGAGGTGGAGAATATTATAGAACATAACAATCGGTACAACATCTCTTCTAACAATGCTAACAAATTCACAAAACACGTAAAACAATCGTTTTCCTGTTTACGTGATAAGTTCACCGAGAAAGATAAAAAAAATTACCTTCTTCCCAAGATAAATGAACAAGATAAGTGACACAATGCTTTTTCTTCTTTTAATGGTCCCTTCAGAGCAGTAAGAATATTTTAATATTTACCGTCACATCGCTGATATAATCATTAAGGATACAGTGTGCTATCTAAAATTGAAAATGTCGCTGCATGGTCTCGGAGAGTGATTCGAATAGACTGGAGGGGAAATTGGACGCTGTTGACTTCGTGGATGCAGATCACGGGATGTAAGGACGATAAACAATGGAGAAAAATTCCATATGGTGGATTGAGCTCGTTATTATAATCGCAGTATTCGTTGTTGGACTAGTAGGAAACATCTTTGTGCTGATCATTGTACAGGCGAAAAACGCCAGAAAGACAGTCCATGGAATATTCGTGACGTGTCTGGCAGTGGCGGATTTGGCTTTGTTGTGTTTTGACTCGCCTGTTTCCATTCTAGGTAAGTTTGATGTGGCTTCCGAGATATTTAACTGCAGAGTTCATCTAATTGTGGTAACAACAGGCTACAATGTAGGACTTTTTACCATCACATCCATGGCGATGCATCGATGCCACATTGTGACTCATCCGTGGAGACCAAAGTTAAAACGTAAAGGAGCAATAATATGGGTGTCGCTAATATGGCTGGCAGCTTTTATTCTGGTTATTCCGCTTATCGTGGTCAATAAACCAACGAGAAATGGCTGTGAAGAATTTTGGCCCACGCCTGGTCACAGCCAAGCGTACACTGTCTCACTCATGACAATTCAATACATAATGCCCCTACTCATTACAGCGATTTG